GCCTCTGATTGAATAATCGGGTACCCCGGAGTGGTAACTACATATGATGTTGATAACAAGATTTGAGAGGGTATTTGTAGACGGTACTGAAGTACGGAGCCTAACCCACTGAAGCTCAAACAAGTGAGCAAACAAATGAGAATAAAGCATTGAGATGGGATCAAAACTGTTCTCCATACCTGTTCTTCCCTTGCTGATAAAACATATCCCTTGAATTCAAATGGGAAATGAGAACCATCTACTGATAATATGTTCCAAGCACTCAAGATGGTGGATAAGATCCACAAGGAACTCCATGGTTTGAAAGAAATCCCAAAAGATGAAGAGAAGAGAATAACTCATGTTACAACAGTCGGTGTATGATTGCTAACACTATCAGCAAGACTTCTATGACCTGACTCAACTGGGTCTTCAACTGATTATCTTCCTTCTTGAAGAGTTCCCGATGGCGGGCCAAGGCTTGCATGTATACCATAAATAACCACATCTGAATCTTCATCCCGACCAATACCCCACTTAGTCGTTCCATAACTGATCCCTGGCGACAACAAGAATTTAAGTCTATAACTCTGGAGAGAATACCAAGTCTGAACATGAATCTCCAACTCTAAGTACCTGTTATGAATGCATGAATATGCATGAGGTGCGTAAGTGGATACAATTCCATGTTTGATCATTTCCAAGGAACCATCATGCTTTGAATTTTTTTTGTAAGTAAGAGATGAACAAAATGCAACGCCAAGCACACAAGCATGATTCCTTGGAAATGGGAAGAACATATGTGTCAAAATGATGTTAATATTATATATGTGCAAGAACATAGGATCAAGGTTCCATAAACATGGAAAATGGTTGCGTTGTCTCTAAACTGAATGATGAATATCACCAGATCAACGGTCTGACGCCACCTTGGAACACAAAAGAACCAAGTACCAAGTGGATCAACAACTGCATGAGACCAAAATCTCCCTATCATAAAAGATAACTGTTGAACTGCCGAAATAAACAGCCATCACAAGGTGAGAAGTCTAGAACAATACCAGGAGATCGCATAGTCATTAACAGTATCAAGTCACCATAAAAAACACACTGTAACTATCAGAACATGGTCTCCAACAGAACTTAAGTCACCAACATAACCAGAGTCACCAACAGAACTAAATTCAACAACATAATCAAAGTCACCAACATAACTCAAGTCAACAACATAACCAGAGTCACCAACGTAACAAATAGTCACCATCAGAACATAATCACCGTCTGTACCTGTGATAATCAAGTCCCTTCCCACTCATAGGAGAAAACTAGGTCAAGGTAAGGCCGGGTAACTCAGAATCGAGGGTACTCCTGAAAAGCTATCACCATATCCCCTAAGTGAAAACGATAGCCCCCATTTGTATCTCATATGAGCATGGACGATATAACAACAAAAGTGAAACCTAAGTGAACTAGTTGTTATGTTACACTCTATTCCTAGGGTTCCTATGGTTGTCACTTGGACTGGGTATTGGGCCTTTTACCTCTTGTAGTACCCATCCAATCATGAAAATAGAGCTAGCACAACAGTATCAACAATATATGGAAAGCGATAAAATGTAATGCAAACATATGCTCAGATAAACATGTACAAAACTAACAAGCTATAAAGAATAAAAATAAACACCCAATGAAGAGAAAGCAAGACCTAGGATCGACTCTGGGATGGACTAGTATTTGGTCGACCTTTCCCTAGTGAAGTCTCCAGCTGAAACAATCGGCTGAACAATCATCAAATAAAAAATCAATGAAGTCGCTATCGAACGTCTTTTATCTCGCCGAAAGGGAAAGGTAAACATCGAGTAAATCTTAAAAGGGAGAAATCACGGTCTTGTGACCAAGAGATCAGGTAAGGGAGTCTGTTATGCAAGGGGAAGATATTATCACCCCACACGCCCCTAGTACTCAACGGTATCCACTCATGTTGTCTAATCTAATGGGTGTGGTCAAAATCTATGTTTAAGGCTAAAAGCTGAAAAGGTAATGCATGCAAAGAAAATACGGGAAAAAGAAATGAATATTTACAAAGATATGCTCGATTAGGCCCCACAAAAACCTCTACCTATGTATCCCTCTTAAGGAATCAGAGCAGTCGTAGTTCGGATAGTATGTTTTTGTTTGTTTGTGCTTTTAGTTAAAAAGACAAAACAATAATTAAGATGGAAAAACATCAGATGTGATGAAAAAACATCAACAATAACGGAAAGACAACTACAATGACGGCAAAACCTCAACAATGATGGCAAAACATCACACCTAACAATGATATTGAAAATCAAAGTAGGATAACAAACATAAGCAATAACAAAATATCGACACAAAGATAGCAAAACATCATGGCAAATATGACAAAACATTACAATTTATATGATAAAACATCACACCTAACAATGATATTGAAAATCAAAGTAGGATAACAAACATAAGGGATGACAAAACATCGACAAAAAGATAGAAAAATATCATGGAAAATATGATAAAACATTACAATTTAGATGATAAAACATCACACCTAACAATGATATTGAAAATCAAAGTAGGATAACAAACATAAGCGATGACAAAACATTGACACAAAGATAGAAAAATATCATGGTAAAGGCGGTAAGACGTCAACTTAACAAGGTTTAAAATAAATCCAAAAGGCACACAAACAATTAAGATTGGTTTGTATTTTTTACCTTGAAGAAGGATTTATGTTGATTAGAGATGTTTTATGATTTTCCAAGAAAACGACAGTTTTTGTTTTAAGATGAAATATGCAAAGAAAAGAAAACAACTAAGGGAGACTATCCTAACATCTAGCCCTAGTATAATCATACAATGATAGCCTTACGTCAAGGAAGAAAGGGAAGTATCTACCTAAGTGAACATACATGGATATATATCCTAATGTCTAGCTCGAGGACTAATCCTACACGAGCAACCCTAAGGGAGCATGGCATATCAAACAAGTGCTTTAGAAAAAGCACATAATCAGGGTATACTGACTCAAGGGATGGGGGTACGAAGAGAAATTCTTTAGCTAAGGGGAGCGAATCACCCGAAGAAAACAAGAGATAGACTGAGATGAAATAAAAAAGAAAAGAATCACTTCAGCTAAGGGGAACGGATCACCCAAAGCAAACAAGCGGGTAGCGAAGTGTCAGCAATGGCCATTGCGAACTTCTGACAAAGTGTGGGGGTTGGTTGCGAACCCTTCTCCACATGACTGACTCGATACACATGATATGCACGACTCTGAAGCATCGACGTACAACGTGAACTAAGGATAACACGGACTAGAATATGCGGGGATCGATTACGAACCCTCTCCGCTTTCCTCCTTTTGAGGACTTATCATCTGTAATATATGCGGGCATAAATGTAAACACACGTGAAAATACCTACTTCAAAGGTAGGATTTTAAACAAGCACAAATAACATACAAAATGCACATATTGAGGAATTTCCCTAAACGGGTCTTTAAATAAACTAGAGGGGTTCCTGACATGATCAGTAATGGAAATCCCCTTCATACATCTCTATCCTACTTCTCATGGCATCAGAAAGCAGTAAATTTCCTACTTCTCATGATATCTAGAAAAGTGGTAAAATACAGAATGATAAACTAGAGAAAATACCAAACGAACAAAAGTTCGTTATGTCGCGAGAAAAAACAATGAAACCCGGAAAACTCTCGAGTAGGCTTCACCAAGCAACGGAAAAGAGTCAGTGGTAAAATGCTTGAAATAAGCGTTGAAGCATCATCGATGTGAAAATAAATCACAATTGAAGTTTCAAGCGCATCCGCATATCACACAATAATCCTGCTTAAAACTCAAATCTCAACAAGCTAAGGCGAATAACAAATATCCAGTAATCGAATAATCCTGATTTAATTCCTAAAATAAAATAATAAAATCTAACAATTTTATTGGTTTTTATTATTTTTTATCATTTGAAAAAAAGAGTTCAAACAAATCTAAAAAATTCACAAAATTATTTAAAAGAAATTACTAAAAAAATAAACTCAGGGGGTGAAAGCTGGAGTTCTGGAGGTATGCTGAAGTAATTAGGTGCTGAAGGCCCATTGAAGAGAAGTCCGTGAATATGTTTTTTTGTTGCAAACATCCAAGTGTCCAAAAATATTAGTGTGATGGGCTGGCCGGAGAGTGCAAATAGCAGGAAGTGGTGATATCCAGCAACACAATTTTGGGTACTAGGCCTAGATTTTACAAAAAATATGCCCATGATCCATCATCAATATCCAAACACCAAGAAAATCATATATCAGGCTCAATTGGGGGGTGTTCGGTCCACCAACCATAACATAGCGGCCCAATTTCATTTGTTATTCATCTTCTTTAAATTAAAACAACAAACAAATATTAAGATAGAAATTAGGGATGAGCTTTGTGATTGTCCATGGCGCATCCCTTACTCAACCTTCTCCGATCAAACAAAATTTACCGTCGTATACTTTAATTGGCTTCTCCATTGTAGTGACACTCATCATCTCTCTCGATCGTTATATTTCGTTTAGCCTTAAAGCTCGACCTCACATACTCCGTTCAATTTCCCTCTAACGTTGCTTGGACATTCGTTCCTGATCATGAAAGAGACGCAATTAATTGTTGGGAAAAGGAAGCATCAACCTAACCTATAGGGAGTAATCGACCATGAACCTTCAACCGCGATGTTATCGACGATGAAAAATAATCTCTTCGAGAATTCAGGTTCGTCTTTGTATCTTTAATTTCCTTCTCCTACTCTTTCTTCGATTTCAATTTCCAGCTACTCTTTCTTAACTTATTTTGTGAATTATGGAGCTCTTCAGGAACCTTTGTTGTCGCTGCTGATTTGATATTGTTGTTGATGGAAGTGGCACATTGATGTTGTTCCGGATGCAGAGAGCTAAGGAGAAGATGCATTGAAGGCTTGAATGAGATTGGTGAAGATGATGCAGAAAGTTGAAGTTGTTGATGGAGATATTTTCTTCGGTCGTAGAAGGATATTTCCAGAGATTTTTAGAGAAGGTTAAGATGAAGGTTTTGCAGAGAGAGAAAACGGAATCAGGGTTGAAGCTGAAGGTTCTCTGTAAATTTTTGTGAATGATGATGGTGAGCTTAGAAGGAGAGATAGATTTTTCTGGTGAGTTTTCTATGATTATTCTATGATCGTGAAGAATGAAATCATTCTTGTGAGATTTTCTTGTTATATAATTTTGTTACCAGTAGTTAAGGGAGAATCAATATGAGCCACTAATTTCTGGTTTTCTATTATGGAATGAGTGATGAGATGAGAGTTAGTTATAGGTTTTTGAAGTTAGTTAGAAGCTGTTAATTTTTTTGTTATGTTGGAACAAAGTTTAGTTGGGACTTGATTTGTTATAACATGCCTTTGTGAATTCTTCCATATTGGGCTTCTTGATATCAGTTTTTGTTATTTGTCAAGAATGAATGTTACTGCAGTAACTTGCTTTTTTCCTTGATTTTGCTGAGCTGTGATATTTTACTGCTTTTTTTTGTACTAAATGGGTTGAGACAATGTTTATTGGACTTGCTTGAGGTGCAAAATGAAATTCGTACCATTTGTTTTTACTGTAAACTGTGATGTTTTCCTGAGTTTTACATGTGCAGTAAATTGCTTCTTTTTGTCTTTACTGTGAACCAAACTTGATTTTGTGATTTGTAGTAAAGAACTAGGCCCATGATTGATATTGTACTTCCTGATTTTGTTTGAAACAAAATGTCTATGAGGCTTTCATTTGGGCTTGAATTCATGATTGAATTTGTTTATGCACAAACCAATTTACTCAATAAATCTCTAATGATGAGATTTCTAGTAGAACGCTTTTGAATTGCGAATTTCCCTTGCTAATGTTTATGAATTTTGATTAATTGTAATAACCTATTTTCTTCTTTTTTTGGTCCATGTAATGAGATCTATTGATTTGGCATGGACTTGAAACTTGAAGACAAAGAGGAAAGGTTATGGCTATCCCTTGGAAAAAATGGTGAAACTTGGCATGGAGGACTTGTGACTTCAATAAAGCAATCAAGGCTTGGTTGTGCAGATTAGGATTTTTATAGAATATTGTAACTTAGAACAAATCCTTCTTTGTAATTCACATTGCATTTATTTGTGCAACCTTGAACTTGTAATAAAATGACTTATTTGAAGTGTCAAAATGACTTTCTTGTAATCCTTGCAATCTTGAGCAAAATTATGAATACCATGTAAATTTGATGAATTTTGAAACGCGTTGTTTGTAATGGACCTTAAGAAATTTTGAATGGTGAATGGACTTTAATGGATGCCTTAAGTAACATGAATTCCCAGTAAGTCATACGCGTGAGTAATATTTTCAAGTTAGATGCTAAAAAAACAAATTCATGTGAGTGAATTATATCTTGTACCCTTGGATGATATTTGAAAATATTGCACGAGATTGCCTTGAATTTCAAGTATCTTGAATTATGAGAAATCCACACAAATCTTCTTCCCAGACTTAGCATGTCTAACCTTAATCAAATGATTCTTCAATTCTCAAATTCCACACCAACTTGTATCAACAAGCAACAAACAATTGAGAATAAACAAGCTTTTATCATGATGAATCCCTTGCTATGATGAAGATAAGCCTCGACAAACCTTGATGGAGATGGTGATACATCTTTGAAGCAATAGTCTTGACACAAATTCAATGAACCTCGGATGATAGACATACACAAGATAAAAACCACAGCCTCTTGATGATCCTCAGTTGATGATTGACAGTATACTGAGACAATACTCATGATGATAATGCTTCAATAATTTTATCAAGAAAGAAGTCACTCACTTCAATAATCAAAACCTTGGCGCAAAATCCAATAGATAGGGAAAAATGTGATTTACTTCGAAACCCATGTAATTCTGAAACCTCTAATGAGACAAAGAATCAATTGAGATGTCTTGAAGGCATGAGAAGCCTTGGTAACTTGAATGATCAAAAGAGAGAAGATATGAGAGCCTCCTTAGACTTCTTGGCAATACAACCATTTTCCACAGCTTGAAGAAACTATGCGAGCCAGAGATACTTTGACCCCATCTTAAAAATGCATGAGTATGTATGATGATACATAAGCCATAATTAAGAGGGTAAATTTTAGGGTGCAACACTTGTATCTTATTTTCTCCAGCAAAATCATGCACCATTACATTGCATCATCAAAGTGTATTGTTTCCATTCTCTTTTGGAACATTACTCCAGGAAAAAATAATAATAAACCAAACATGCATTGAGACATAAGCCATTATTGTTTCTGTTTCCCCAACGAATTTGCTAAAAGCTTCGGATTATATCCACAACATTTTACTTTAATTATTGGTGACTCATATTTTCATCCCCGCAGATATCCCCTGATATCCTTGACAGTTCTCATGTCTTCTCAGTTATTTACCCATGTTTACCTCGTGAAGTTAGAGTGCAAGAAAGAGTTGTTGTATAACTTTTCTTTCTTCTCAATTGTTTGAGTACCCATACTTTGTGTGTGGTGATTCAGATAATTACCACTCTTGAAGAAGTACACCCCGCCTTTGGCCTGAGGGATAATGTAATTTTTTTTTTCAAACACAAATCCTTCCCTTACCTAGCGTAAGTCGGTCCCCTTATTTCTTCTCGCATAAGGGATGTTTCTTTCCTTGAGCAAGCCCTTTTGATCTGCGTCCAAAGTTTATTGGTGCACTGTGCAAGTCCAGTATATTTCTAATATTCCTCTCTTGTTCCAAAATCGAGTTTCCACTCATTACATTTTTACCTATGGTCTGGTTCTTCCCTGGTACCTTTTTCTAGAGTCTAGTAACTACTAGTCTACCGTGATCGAGTGTCTTTATCTTTGATTTTGATACAGTTTTTCCATGACACAATTTTCTCGGGTTTTTACTACCCTTAACAGTTCATTTCAATGTCTATTGATATACCTTCTAAATACCAGCCTTACCCTGATATTCACTTTTAGCCTAGTATTATCTAGTTTCTTTTAGGCCGAGTTTTATCTCGTTACTTGTGTGTGCAACCTAGTTTTGTCTTGGTACTCATCTTTGGATTAGTTTTATCTAATATTCTTAAGTCAGGTTTGCTACTCGTTTTAAGTCTCATCTTTGGACCAGTATTTTCTAGTCTTCTTGAGCTGAGTTTTTACTCGTTATTTTGTCTCTTTTATTCCCTGGGTTCGTTCAACATCGTCTACTGTCTACTCTCGTTTGAGCCAGTAGGTGTCTTATGAAATACACGCACTTTCTGTCACCTTTCTCTAGGGCCCAATTTCCATTGTTGTTCTATTGAGTACTTTTTCAAATCCTAGTATTATCTAGTTCCTCTTTGGTCAAGTTTTTATCTTTTTACCTTGTTTGCACACCAATTTATACCTGGCTCATTCTTTATAGTACTCCCGGAGGCCGAGTTTTATCTCGATAACCTCTACCCGATCCCACCAGCGTTCAACTAACGTGCTAATGGTATAAGTTCAATTTCATCTATCCTTTGTTGTTCGAGACCAGTTTATTTCTGGTATACCCGTTCGGATCCAATATCTATTCGTATCTCGAGTCTAGTATTATCTAGTCTTCCTGGGTTGAGTTTTATCTCATTATTGCAATTTGTGTTCCAGTTTTGTCCCTGCACATTCTTTTAAAGTCTAGTTTTATCTAGTCTTTTTGGGTTGAGTTTTATCTCATTTCTGTGATCTGTGTTCCAGTTTTGTTCTGTCACATTCTTTTAAAGTCTAATATTATCTTGTCTTCTTGGGTTGGGTTTTGTCTCATTTTTGTGGTCTGTGGTCAAGTTTTACCTGGCATATCCTTTTAGAGTCTAGTATCCACTAGTCCTCTTGGTGTAAGTCCAATCTCTACTTGGCTTACCTTTCGAGCCCAATCTTTACTTGGGTCATCTTTCAAATCCAACTTCTACTTGGTATATCTCTTGAGTCCAGTTTTATCTGACACCCTTTGGTAAGATTTGGTATTCACTAGTCTTCCCCTCTTTCACCCAGTGTGCTTGGTATTATCCTCACAAAAATGCAATTACCCTTGTTGCTTTACTCTCTTGTTATAGAGTTTAAATTTTCAGGTTCTTTTTGTATTAAATCCTTTTCCATCTTGAACGTTCAAACGTTGTCGCTCTTTCTCACTGATCAGGTTTAAGATGATTGAATATGGGCAATTGTTGCACCCCAAAATTTACCCTCTTGTTTTTTATAACTTTAAAGGCTTACGTTTCATCATATGCATTCATACATTGTGATAGGATCAAGGTATTTTGGTTCCCAAGTTCCTCTACAAGTTATAAAGAGTGATTATGTTGATAATCAGGGCAAATAGGGTCTCATATCCTCAATCTTTGAGTCACTCAAGCTACAAGGGTTTCTTATGTCTCAAAATATCTCAATTGTCTCTTTGATTCATTAGAATTCTAGAATTGCAAGTGTTGATTCTCGAATCACTGTTTTCCTATGCATCTCCTGAGATTAGGGGTTTAGCCAGATGAAGTGTGTGATGCTTGTGTAGGCCAAATTTGTGAAGCAATATCCTCTCATTGTTATATGAGACATCTTTATTCAAATAATTTCTCATCATGTTCCTTGGAATTAGGGTTGAGACTGGAACATCGTTTCCTAGCACATAGGGCCAAAATTAGGGTTTTTGATTTAATCAAGAAATCTATGATTTCTTGGGAAAGACTTGATTCCATATTTCTCTACATGTTTAGGAGCACCTATGGTTGAAGGTTTGAACATCAATATTGATTGGAAGTGTATCAATTGATCAATTGGGGGTAAAACAATCATTTGAGCAAAAGTCAACAAAAGTCAATTGTGAACAAGGGGATTTTTGGTCAACATGCAATTCAACATCCATATTTTTATGTTACATGGTCATTGATGGAAGAAAGTCAAGAAATTTTTTAAATTTGAAGATAACTTGTCAAAGAAGTCATTTGAACATTTGAAAATTCATAACTTCTTCATTTTTTATTGAAAATATTCAAGCCTTACATGGTCAGAAAGATGAGAAAAAGTTCTTCAACTTTGTCATTGTGAGTCTAAGTCCAAAAAGTGAAGGGAAAGAAAGTTATGTGGCATGGAATATTTTTGACACTTAGTAAATTTTCAAATTATGTGCACACGACTTTATTTCTCCATGATCAATTTTGAGGTGTCAAATGGGTTCAATTCAAAAAGGTGTCAACATCAAAATTAAAGTTTGAAGTATCATATATAATTTTGGTTCAAGAATCATTTCATTTGGTTCAATATTAAGAGAGTTACAATGATTAGGATTTGAAGCCTTGAGATGTCACGTTGCCAAGTCACGCGCGTGCCAGGCAATGCATTTCATCAAATAGTTTGTGGGCATGCATTCACAACCATTTTTCTCATTGAATTAATCTTCATTTTGAAAAGTGTTGAACATCAAAGTTGGAGTTTGATGTCTCCTCTTCAATTTTGGTTCAAAGTCTGTTTCATTTAATGCATTATAGAGGAAGATATTAAGGTTAGAATATGGAGGTTTGAAGTTGAAAAAAGGCATGCAAGGCGCACACATGGCTTGCCCAGTCAGACCTGGACATTTATCAATCACCTCGAGGGCATAGGTTCATGATGGTTTTTCTTTATGATTAAGGCTTCATTTCATTTTTGTTTCAACATGAGAGTTGTTCATCTCACTCCTAGCTTTCAAACAAGCTCAAGATCATCATAAATTGTCCATCAAGTATCAAGTTTCAAGGTTTCAAAGTTAAGTGTTCAAAATTGGAAAGTGACAAGTCACTTGGAGATATTTTTGACATGCTCATGTCAGTGTCAACTAGCAATTTTTGTGAGCTATTTTAAAGGACTTCAAGACACCAATTCAGCTTTGTTCCAACGCAGGAATTTTTCATCATGTCTATCTATTTTTATAAAGCCCAAGCTCATGGAAATTGATCAAAAGCTCATGAAATTATGACGGATTGAAGAGAGCTGGTCAAGAGCTTTCTGTTATGGTGATGGTGTTAACATTATGTACACATTTGAATTTTGCTTGCAGCAGTCCTAGCATGTACATGAACAACACACCATTCAAAATTTACTCAAAATGGCAAAACATTTTCTCACCTCATGCATGCCTTTCATGCTTCCCCTACAACCAAAGAAGAAATAATTTTCTTTCCACATTATCCCACCCATGTGCTTTCAGTACAGCTCACCACCTCACACTTATCTTACACTCACTATTTCTATCACCAAAATGCATTCTCTCACCATACAAAATAACATGAAATGAAACATAACCCTCACACTCATCTCACATGCTATCTTTTGCTATTTTCCTTTTCTACCCTCAAGGAAACTTCTTCACCGCTATTTCCCACATTATATAAACTCTTTCTATTCTCTCATTTGATACACACTGAAATCATACGCAAGCCAAAGCTCTCTCCCTCTCTCAAAGCTCTCTAAATATTTCTCTCAAGAAGTAGCTATTGGATTCAAATTTTCTTTGAAGCTCATAAGAAGTTCTTTCTATATTATTCAGTATTCAAGTGATTCAGGTTTCTGAAGCTTGCTCACACGATCTGAAGATCCAGTAGAGCTTCTCCACTAGGTAACTCTTCAAACTCCATAGATCTACTTTCTTAAACTTGCATATGTACTTACAGTTGATTCTAATAGGTGGGTTTGTGCTTATCATGTTGTTAGCTGGCCACACAGTAGGTGTGATGTATATGGATGCATGAATTTTGATCTTGTTTTTATTTGTGAAGTTCTAAAAAAATGTTGAATCTAAAACTTTGAGTCCATTTTTCTCTGTGATTTATTTATTGTTTCTTGAACTTTGCTTTTTGTATCGCGTGATTTCGTTAAGAAATGGAAGAGATGTGAGGATCTGAATGTGGTATGTTGAACTGGTTCTAGTGCATTAGGGTTTCATTTCATGGACAAGGATGATGACGTGTTTCATTGTTATTGAACATGTACTAAATCATTTCACGACGCTTTATGCTTAAAACAAATGTAGTAGATCATTTTCATTTTTGAATTTTAGTTTATTTTAATTGTTTTCTTCAATTTATTTTAAATAGTTTCATAAATTCAAAAATTACCAAAAAAATATCTTAGACTTAATTTTTAGTCTACTTTCAGATTTTGAATTTTATTTCATGATTTTGTCATTTTTAGATGACTAATAAATTCATGTAGAATAATTAGGTGTTTTGATCATATTTTAGGATTTTGATTTTACTTTCTAATTTTCACTAGCCTAAAAAATTCACAAAAAATATTCTGAGCTGCCTTTTGAGTCTAATTCATGAAAATAATTTTTTTCTTATTTTACAAAATTCGTGACACTCTAATTAAATCAGTTGGTTAGTTGTGTCATTCTTTTTTCCAATTTTATTACACTTTGCAATACTTTCTATTTTAATTTTTCCTCTTGTGATAAAATTCCAGAAAAAATTATTTAGTGATCCTTAGATATTAAAATAATTTTCATAATTTTTAATTTGATTTACTTTTCAGTTTGTTGTTTTTAGAAATTGTGGAAGTTAATTGTTGTTTTTTTATCTCTCTTCTTTCTTAAGCTCAAAGAAACATTTAATTCTCCAATTTCCTTTACTTCTAAAACTGAAATAAAACAAGTTTGAGGTTCTTGGATGACTTAATATCATAAAAACCATTTTTTTTAATTTTAAGTTTTTATCTTACATTTTTCAAAAATTATTTTGTTAAACCTCTCTAGTTTGAGCCCTTTGCCAACTAGTCTTGATAATTTCAAATCATTTTCACCTTTCCAAGTTAATACAAGAATTTTAAGCCATGTTTCTGAATTTTAGGGAACTTTATGAATTTATAATTAAATTTACAAGAATTTAAAAGTCATTTTCACATTTTAAACCTAATTTTGACTTAGAAGTGTACATAGAAGTTTGCCTTGTCCAAAATGCTTTCAATTGTTGGTTTATGTGCATAATTTTAGGCTAATCTTTTGAGTATCATATGTTACTGAATAGGTATTATCATGATCCATATTTCTCATTTTTCTCATGCCTCTAACTCACTTTTCCTTGATCAATATTTGCTTGTCTCTCATAGCCTTCTTTCTTGTATGCTTTGTATTCAATCTTCTTCCATTGTTTGTGATGCTTGAATGATTTTTCTTAGATGCCTTGTGCTACTTACTTGCATGTATTACTTCATCTATTCATGTCCTCTCTTCATCTATATCCTTTCTTGAGCTTCATTTGCCTTTAGGAACATGATAGGATGTGTTTTTGACCTAGTTTGGCATTGGATTTTGTTTATGTCAAAGTGATGATGCCTTAGGGATTATTAGAGGTTTTAGAATGTGTTATAATTGTATGCTTGATTATAACTTCACTTCTATTTGACACTCCATGAAGTGATTAGCTAATCACACACTTGTTTCTACTTAACATTCACTCTTTGTTTTGCCTTAGTATATGTATGATATATGTTGATTGTTGTTGAGGACCTTGAGTCCAATCTTTTGTGTTTAAGTTTTGATCTTAACTTCTCCTCTCACCTCAGCTCTTTATGCTCTTATTATCCTTTTAGTTGACACTCATTTGTCAACTAACATGGTGACCTAATAAGAACTACATTTGTCTAATTTCACTTGTTGTTTTTTTTAGCATCATTGTCTAGTGATTGCCTCGTAATATTTGTGACATGTATCCTTGAGGTATCTTAATGTTGTCCATTACCTATAACATCTAAGAACCTTGGGTTTGATCTCTTTAGATCACCTATGCTTGTATGCATTAGAGACTACAACTTTTATAAGTTGTCATGACACTTAAGCATGTTACATCAATGGCATTTCTTAGGGTTTTGAGTTCATGATAGATACTTTAAGAGGGATGTTGCCACTGCCCTAGGACTTATAAGTATCAATTTATCTTCACTTGATCTTTGTCAACCTTGTTTGAACTTAGACAAGTATCATTTGTCTTGAATGGTATTGTTCATCAAGTAAGGTGACTTAGCTTTGTATGTGGAGTTTCATCTTCACTCTTAGTTACTCATGAACTTCATCATGAGATAACTTGTAACACAAGTCACACATGTCATAATTCTCAAATTATGATCTCTTTACTTCATCATTACTCTTTCAACTAAACTTGCTAGTTTTTGTCTCTTTGCATCACATTCTTTGTATGCTATGTGCAATCTTCTTCCATGACTTATGGAATTTAATTGTGGTTTGTTAAAGTTCATATGCTACTTATTTGTATGTATTAACTCACCTCTAAGCATGTCCCACCTCTATCTATCCTATTCTTGATAATTCTTTGTCCTTTAGGGTTGATTTAGGGTATAGTTTTTGTATAGTCTTGTGCTAACTCTTGAGTATGCTTTGGCAAGGTTACCTTAGGGGTTCGTATACTATTGTAGAACATTAGCCTTGTGTGTTTTCTTCTGACTTCAAACATACTTGTCACATTATATCATGATCATCTATCCACACACTTACTTTCACTTTATTCTATAACTTTGTTTTGACCTAGTTTGTATGCTTTAGTGTTGGTACCATGACTTTAATAAACGATTGAGTTTCATATTGATTATTTAGTATGTGTTGGGTTTATAACATGTCCATGTTTACTTTCAATTCTTCATATTATCTCTTTTATCTCACATGATTGTTTGTTAGGATTGCATGAGGACATAAGTCCACTTAGGGTTCTTCAACCAACTTCTCTTATATGGTTTGCTTATGAATTTTCCTCAAGTTTTTTTATGTGACGATGATGAGTACTTGATGTGTTTAGTTCAGACTTATATACTTCTTCTTCTCTTTCAACTCACTTTACCTTCTCATACCATGTTTTGTTAGGCACTTGACACATAAATGCTTTTATGCTAATGTACTTGCCTTGATCTTTTGTCTTGTGAACTTAGATCCAAACAACTTTTGCATGACCCTTAGGGATATATATATATATATATATATATATATATATATATATATATATATATATATATATATATATATATATATATATATATATATATATATATATATATATATATATATATATATATATTACATTGGTTTTGTTGTACCCCAAAATTTGCCCTCTCATTTCACTCAAGACATGCCTCTAGAGGTCCTCAACTTGCTCAAGGATGCCCAAGAGTTGACCAGACAAACTCTCTCCTAAGGCAATGTACCTCAAACTAGGGTTTCCATTTTCATCAGGATGTGGGAACTCCAAAGGGTACCAAATTCAATCCATGGTCCTAATATATTCTCAAGATCATCCACGTCAAGTTTCATGCCTTGCACAAGATGTTTGCTCAGTCAATTGCCCAGATGCCTGAAAATCAACTATAATAGGTCAAAGGTTAACTGTGGCCCACATATAGTGAAACTTCAAGATTTTTGCTCAACATCAACATTTTTAAGAGATATCCATCATTTGATCAAGGGTTGATCATGATTCCTCAAGGAATGCCCCAAATTCATCAAAACCCAAAAGTTGCTAAATTAGGGTTTCTCATGAAAAGTCAACCAAACTTTGACCATGCTTAACGTCTTCATAATTTATCAGAAATTTTCTATCCAAGGTTCATTTTGAAGAGGATGCAATTCCCTACAATTCATCTTCAGCCCACAAGTTGAAAATATGCACTCATTAAAAGATATGAATTTCTACATTATGGGTCCTTTTGAAAAGTCAACAAAAACACCTTTTGGGTCAAATCTTATTACATGAACATGGAAGACCCAATTGAGATGAAACCAAAATGGTTGTTTAGGGGACATCCTAAGCTTTCTAAAAAGTCCAAGAATACCTCTCTAGGGTTAAAATTGGAGGAGATATGCCTTGTCAAAGTTGACCATTTTTGCAAAATTGCCAAAAGTCAAATGTGCTCAAAAATACATTTTTTGTCAAATGGGCCTAGCATTTCATGATTGTATCTTGTTGGAAACATGGTCCATGACCCAAATCAGCATCCACACATTTCTTTCTTTCTTTATTTATTTATTTTGATTTTTTATTATTTAAAAGTTAAATTAAATCAAATAAATTGCAAAAAATATAAAAAGATTGGTTTTAATCTGATTTTTTGTAGGAATCAAATCCAATTAGAGTGGCATATCAAATCAAATCTTGCAAGGCAAATTGAATCAAAATTGGCATGATTAGGCTATTTTGGAAAGATATCATACAAGGAGCAAAATCAAATCAAATCTCCATGATTTTCAAAGATACAAAGTGTTTTTGTTAACTTAATTTGTTCCACTACATATACAGAACACAACCAATGTGCAAAAACAAGGATTACAGTCGTGAGAAAGGAAGAACAAAACTCAAAAATTGGCAAGAAAGTGGTGATTCATTTTCTAACCTAGAGATCAATTCAAGCCATTTCAAATCTCATAATCGATTCCTGGACATCTCCAGAGCACTCTTCAATCATTTGTAAGCTTCCACAAGCCCAGAATCATCAAATAATACTCTAACAGTTTGTCACCTTTTCCAAATTCGTATATCTTCATTCTTGCATTGTTAACATGTTTTGATCGATATTTTTGTTCATATGGATGCTTGGAAACTTTCTGTATACTTAATTCCTAGCTTTGATGCATAAACAATGAGTTGTCATTATTAAGGTTTTGCCCTCCATTTTAGGGTTTCTCTATACAGGTACAATTGGGCCAAAAGAGAAGTACCATCACACTCGTGAGATCAAAACGAGTTGATCTGTGGCTTTAAATTTTATTTACATTGCTTGATATGAATTTTAGAGTTTGCAGGTCTTGTAGCTACAGACACAGGCCGTAGGTATAAGTCCACACCTAAAACGACGGTTCTGCAAGGAAGATAATGGCGTGTCCAAGCCTGATTGGACAATTCAAATTTCGCGCGTTTTCTTTATCATACTGACTAATATTTATTATATTATTTTCGTTTCAATATTATAACAACTAAAACATGTAGCCCAATGGTGAAGCGCGCGTTGGAAAGTAGAGAGGACCTGGGTCCGATCCCAGGTCCAGGCGTTTTCTTATTTTCCTAATATTTGATTACAGATTCCATGCTCCACACATCAAGACATCCACCATGCGCTCCAACCATCCAGCCATTGGATCATCACCATCACCAATTCAGCACCTCAGGATGCGTCCCTATGGTACGTCTCCAAGCCTGGCAAACACAAAATCAAGTGCAAAGACTGGGCTGAGCAAGGAATGGGCCTCACAAATTCAGTACTACACCCCCTGAATTGCTCAACAATACAAGCCCAATTTCTTTTCTTTTCTATTTTAATTTTCTTAATTGTTTTATTAATTATTTTTCTTTTCCAAAAAACAACAAAAAATCAGTTTTTATCATAAAATCAAAAAATCACAAAAAACATAAAAATCATTTTTTTAATAAAAAATATTTTATTTCCTTAATTTATTAGATTAATTTAATTTAGGGAAATTTAATTCCTTTTCATATAATCTAAAATAATTAGAATTAGGGTTTAATTTGTACATAACCTAATTAATTTTTTCTCAAAAACTAACCTAAATCTTTTTCAACTAGATTTTTTAGGTTTTCTAATTATTCTCGCATTTAATTCGCCGCACACTTTTAATTTCCTTTTTTATTATTATTGTAACTGCTTCGAGTTTGTAATAGTAATTAGGGTTTTCAATTCCGCATCTTTAATTTCAGTCCAAGATAATTATGTATCTGCAAAAGCCCTGTAATAGCTAGGACTTTAACTTTCTCGCATTTTATTTCCGCAAACTATAAACTGCTTAGATGTTAATAGGATTGTATGGAAAGACAAACTAAAAATTAATGCGGTAGAAAACAATAAATGTGCAAAGATAAATTAACTGAAAATTACACTAGCACATACTCACTCCTAAGGTTTACTCCACTCCGGTTGCCTTCGGTAAACGGTCATGAAGTATAGGGTTTATTAGTGGTTGTCCTCTAGCCCTGAATGATCTAAAATGACCCATTCAGATGTTGCCTCGGAAAAAGATCTTTAAGGATTTAGGATGATTACTATCATTTCCTAACATTGCTTTTGTGATTGTATTTGTCCCTTCGAATGTCCCTAAAAAACTCCAATGACGATGCTACCTATTTCTCAATAATGGATAGCATTGTCTAAAAGGAAAATGAACAGATCTTTTTCGAGTTGGTAGATTAGTTCCTAGGTACTTGCTCAAACAAACAAAAACTTTTTCACACCAACACTTTCCAAACAAAGTTTTCAAAAACAACTTCGTAACACTCTTGAGGACAGAAACATGGGTTAACACGAAGTAAAACAAAACTTTTAAAAACAAGCACACACAAGCAGTTTTCAAAATGACCAAGTACCTAAGAGCCTGTGGAAAACCATGGATAGAAATGGTGCTAACACCTTCCCTTTCTATAATCTACCCCCCGTACTCAGAAACATCTCGAAAAAGGTTTTTCTGCTCTTTTTCCTTTTCCTGATTGGATAAAATAAAAGTCGGTGGCGACTTTTGCTTACCGCGACATTTGCGAACAAAAAACGCAAACCAGTATTAACAGTCGGTTCTGCCACCGTATCACAGAACTGGCAACTCTGCTGGGGAATAAAATATAAAGTGGGGTAAACTTTAGGATCTAGGTCATATTTAATTGCTTTCTCTTGATTGTCTTTCTTGATTTATATTTATGGGAACTGTTTGGGTTATTTGATCCTACACCCGGATCGGGAAACACCTTTTAGGTAAGTAGCAATAAACTGTGAGGGAGTTGTGCTTGGGTATACCGACACGGTTGAAGTAGTAGCTACGTTGATGTGGCACTTTGGTTGGTACCCGTAACCCTTGAGTCAAATCAGGGAGATGTACGGGGCCGCCGCGTGGTGTCATAAAGCATCAACTAACCTTAGAACCTTTAATTGCACAACTTGGCCAGTAGGACGTAGCAAGATGGACGACTTTGGTGTATGCCCAAGGTCGATAGATACTCGATGCTACACTCATTGAGGTTTGACTTCTGATTTTTGTTTGATTACGAGTCAATCGTCGATTGAACAAGGCTTGGGGGAAAGATCGGTGATATTGAGATCCCTTTAGAACCCGGTTACATATTTATAGGACAGGTTAAACCAATCCAACTTCAAGAGGGTATGACCTTAAAACTCAAGCAGGCCTTAAACCTAAGGACTTGGTGTGATTTGTCCATGTTTTATATGCCTATGATTTATCATGACATCATAAACATCATACCATAGCATATCATACTAACTGTTTCAAGGGTTTCTAGGTCTCATATTTGCTCTATTTTATAGGATATGGCATCCGCCCGCAGGAACACTATTCAGATTAACCTAGTGAAAGTATCTCCCCAATTAAGGGACTTGGCAGTAAGGATTCCCGAAAGCTCTCCTTTCACTGGAAAGCATGGTCGGTTGCTCAACTTGGTCACTTCAAAACCCGACGAAGAAATGTTGAAAGTGTTGTTTCAGTTCTTTGATCCTCTGCATCACTATTTCATATTCCCGGATTACCAGTTAGTGCCTACTATGGAGGAATTTTCTCAGTTATTAGGGATACCCATTCTTGATCAGCTACCTTTCAACGGTACGGAAAGACATCCCAAACCTGAAGAAATTGCTAAAGCTATATCCTTACAACGGTCCGGCATAGTGACAAATTGGGAAACCAGAGGGAGTGTTCAAGGAATTCTGGTTAAATTTCTGTTCGAAAAGGCTTACTATTTTTGGGATACCCTGGATGTACAAGCTTTTGAAGAGGTTTTGGAGCTCCTTGTCTATGGGATGGTACTGTTCCCTAATGCGGATCAACTCGTAGATGTGAGTACAACCAACGTTTTTCTATCTCAGAATCCGGTACCTACAATACTCAGGGATATTCTACACTCTATGCATGCTCGCACTCTAAAGAGAAGGGGGACCCTCCAGTTTTTCACTCCTCTATTGGCTAGGTGGTTTATTTCGAACCTACCCAAATCTACTTTGAAGAATGAACAGGGTGAAAGAAGGTCTCATCGACTGATGTCCCTTATGCATTCAGACATTCATTGGTGTTCACGATTCTTGGAAGATGTTACTATCATCGATCACTATGGTGAATTCCCTAATGTCCCTCTCTTAGGATTTAGGGGATGAATCACTTATAACCCTTGCTTAGCATTATGACAGTTTGGTTATACAGAAGGGATGGTCCTCATGATACACTTATTCAAGGGATCTCCTTCAACTATGAGAATGATGTTCAAGGTTACCGCAAAAGGTTCATACAAGCTTGAAGTATGGTACATAGGGTTGACAGCAAGACACTTAGGCATAAGAATTCCATACCTCTCGAGCCTTATCTCAGATGGGTACGAGCCCTCGCTCAAACTCTTATGATGCCTTATCCCGCTATCCGACCTATGATTATGGAACCAGTTTCTGAGGGAGACACTCCTTATCTTGTTCTTCATCCAGACATGCCAACTGATCACGAAGAGTTACAAAAGTTCTGGGTTCAGCTTAAAGAGGAGCGGGATACGTTTAAAGCCCAATTCTACGCCAGCGAGAAGAAGGTCTTGGAACTCACTAGGCTACTTCATAAAGAGAGGAATATCAACACCTACATCGCGTCAAAGAGGATGCGCTCATGGGAAACCTAGTCTTCTTTTTGTTTTATTTTGCTTAATTGTACTCTCAAAATACATTCTTTGTAACAATTCAAGTTTACTAATACAATTCACGTTTGTTCCTTTTTGTTTAAGCAAATTTGAGCCTTTAAGAACCCTTGAAAACATTGCATACATATCATAAATATCATTGCATAACAGGATTCATAACAGGTTTCTCATATCCTCCGTTGTTTATTTAAGCAATGGCTCTTGAACAAAATGTGAAAGATCTTCAGACTTAGAACACGCAGTTCCAGTAAATGATTGTGGCTCTGGCCAAAGGACAGGAAGAGCTAAAGGCTCTGATTGTTAAGAAGAACACTAAGAAGACCAAGAGGACAGCCGGTGTGGCACATATGAGCAGAAGGTTCAGAGGGCCGCCAAGACGAGTTGTTGATTTAGCTTCTTCATCTAAAGAGGGAGAGAATCAAGAGGGTGAAGCCAGAGAAGAGGACCCT